TTTTATAATCCTCCTCACATTTAATTTTAAAATATATAAATGTACTTTTTAATTTAATGTAATTTTTAAGTAAAAAAATAAAGAATTTTAAAGTATTTTATTTAAAAATACAAAAATCTTTTGGGTTCTCAATAATGAGAGCAATGGGACTGAAAATACTATATTATGTGTTAAATCTTTTGTTTTACAGCTGGGGACAAAACAATTGATTCTATTGCTTTCATCCTTTGTTTAATGGCTATAATAGGTGGAAAAAATTCTTCACAAAGTTACACCAATTCAAGAAGAACTATATTCTCAGCTTCATTTGTTAAATCACCACACTAATTTTTAAAACTTTCTTTTGCTTACGGTAAGGTCTATGTTGAAATTCTGCTGACCGTCATCTTCCATGACCTCAATCACTTGTATATCAAGACTAATCAGAAAGTTATGTTTTGGGGGCAACTGGGTGGCTCAGTCAGTTAAGCTTCTGACTTTGGCTCAGGTCATGATCTCATGTTTCGAGAGTTTGAGGCCCTCCATTGAGCTCTTTCTTTCTTTTTTTTAAGATTTTTTTTTTCTAAATTTATTTCTGAGAGAGACAGTGTGAGCAGGGGAGGGTCAGAGAGAGAGGGAGACACAGAATCTGAAACAGGCTCCAGGCTCTGAGCTAGCTGTCAGCACAGAGCCCGACACGGGACTCAAACCCACCAACCATGAGATCATGGCCAGAGCTGAAGTCGGATGCTTAACCGACTGAGCCATCCAGGCGCCCCTCATTGAGCTCTTTCTGACAGCTGAGAGCCCAGAGCCTGCTTGGAATTCTGTCTCTTGCCTCTCTGCCCCACCCCTGCTCATGCTCTGTCTCCCTCTCTGTCTCTCAAAAATAAACAAACACTAAAAGCAATCTTTTTTTAAAAAGTGCTGTGTTTTTGTATTTTTAACAAAAGAGATTTTTTAAAAAAAAAAGTCTATTAAAGGTGAGTTCATTTCTCACTCACTGTTAAACATCACCTTTACTTAAAAGGACAAGGTAATATGCTAAAGTGCCATCACAGAAAGGGGCAAAATCTGGGACATTCTTACTTTTTAGTAAAAGAAAGATGTATGATTCTGCATGAGTTAACCAGTGTACGGTTCAAAACACTTTCATGACCATTCTTCATCTCACCAAAAAGTATTATAGGGATGCTACTATGTGAGAGACTTGCTTTATCCAAGTAGCCACACTAAAGGTAGCTAGCTGGTGTGCAGCTACGTGGTGAGCGTAGGACCGGACCGCAGGACTCTGCAGCTCCCTGAAAGCGCAAGGACCTGAGACCTGTGTGATGCTGGCTTCTTCCCGCAGGCCAAGGGCGAAAGCTCTGCACTCCCCAGGATTCCTGGAAGTGCACTCAGGGATTCCGGGCCGGGTGGAGACAATTTATGGCTATCGTGTGCTCCCGCACCCAGGGAAGCAGGGGCCTGCTCACAGGAACACCGCAGCATGCTTTACACTTGAGAGAGACACAGCAGTACCCAGCAGCTACTAGACACCACGGCAGCCACAGCTCAGGTCGTTCCGTTTCTTTTTCTTTCTTTCTTTTTTTTTTTTTTTTTTAATTTATTTTTGAGAGAGAGACAGTGTGAGCAGGGAAGGGTCAGAGAGAAAGGGAGATACAGAATCTGAAGCAGAATCCAGGCTTAGTCGCATAACCGACTAAGCCACCCAGGCGCCCCAGGTCGTTCCGTTTCCACACTAGATAGCACAACATTCCTCAAGGGCATCTTTGCAAAGCTGGGTTGTCAGGGACAAAGGGCAAGTACCAGGTGAAAAACAAATGTCAAAAGGGAAATGGGGCGGTAGTTTGAGAGGTTGAGCAGTGTCTAGCAGGTTCCCATGTGCTACAGCACATATTTGGCAATGTTTAAACATGAAATCAAGGGACGCCTGGGCGCCTCAGTTTATTAAGCATCCAACTTCGGCTCAGGTCATGATCTCGTGGTTCCTGGGTTCAAGCCCCGCATTGGGCTCTGTGCTGACAGCTCAGAGCCTGGAGCCTGCTTCCAATTCTGTGTTTCCCTCTCTCTCTGCCCCACCCCCGTTCACACTCTGTCTCTCTCTCTCAAAAATAAACATTAAAAAATATTTTTAATAAAAAAATAAAAATGAAATAAAAATATTTATTCTTTCCATTGATATGTATTATTTTTTTTCAAATAGCTACTAGGTTGTTAGGATAAAAATACTCATTATGTTGGCTGGACTTACCTACTTAATAAATGGCACTGTCAGATATGGCCAGGGGCACTAAGAAAATGTGACTGTGCCCCGAAGGGCCATGGGAATGCCTGTGCTACAGCGATGGTGTGTGGAGCGGCAAACCCAGGACGGGGACCAGGAGGGCCGTACTCCAGTGCCAACTCTGCCACCAACCCCTGAACACTCTTCACATTAACCAACCGCTGGCAAAGCAAACGCACTAGCGGACACATGCTCACAGGTGGCCCCTGCTTCAAGGCGACCACAGTCAGCTTGCCCTAGGTAAAGGCTGGGCTCTCTCCTCCAGGAGGGATGCTCCTGCCCTCCCTGAGGGGCCCCTGACCTCGACAAATCCACAGCTTTCCCACTTCATGCCACGTGCTGTGCTAGGTGCCGAAAAGAGAAACCGAGGTCCCATTCTCACTGTTGCTCAAAGGGCAGATACTGAGGTGGTTGACTCATCTGACCAATGAGAAGTAAATAAGCAGAGCTAATCGATGCAACAACTCCCACTTCAGAATCTACAAACATAACAGCAAATATGATCATTCATATGGCAGCCATTTCATGTTCTTTTCAAAGGTTTTTTTAATATCAAACATTTGTGCCTTATTTTCAAAACCATACTACCTCTCACTACTTGTTTGGTTACTAAATATGTGATTCAGCACCCTAAAGAAACCATTTGGGAATCCTCTGGGAAACTGAAGAATTGTTTTCATGAGTAGAGTTCATAGGTTTCAAGTAAGGATTGGCGTAAAATGTAGTATACTTAGGCATACATGCAATTTCCTCAACATTTCACCATTTCAACTGTTTCAAGGGCCTTTCCGGCTTGGTCTAGGACACCAGGGGGGCCTGAGCTGCTCCAAGGAGTCTGTTCTTTCTTTCTACTAAGTGAAAACTGTTACTTTAATATGCAAAATCTTAAATCCAACAGTAGCAATCATAAAACCTCTTGCTTTGATTAAAAAAAAAATTAACTATTTTTTTAATAGTAGCTATTAAAGAGTATAAGAGCTATTAAGAGTAGCTATCTCCCACTTAATTTTCACAAATTGCCCTAATAAGAATCAGATGATTCACTCATCTGCCCATATTCTTACTTCCTGGGCGATGATTCACCACAGGGTTCAAGTTCAAAGTGACAGTTTGTTTTGGAAGCAATCAGCGTAGTAAGGCTGTAACAGTAATACATGATGATTAAGCCTAAAATCAAAACAAAACAGAACACTACCCTTATTACTAACAGGATACTCAGGTACACAAGAAACCCTGAACATCAACAAAAACAGGTACATGTACTAACAGAAAAGATGGAATAAAGGATAGGTAATTTATTCTAAAATGACTATTAACTAGCATTCTCCATTAATACAAGGCAGCGGGGAGTGAGAGACGCACTCTTGTTTAAAAAGAATGTATTTTCTCTCAAAGCATTCAACCTTGTTTAAAAAGACATGAATCAGAGGATAGAAGGGATGAGCACGTGAGCAGTGGTAGGCTGAGAAACAGGAAGGAGAGTATCAAGGGAATTAGATTCTAGAGACTTCCGAGGAGGAAGGGGAGATGGAGGTGTCAGTTTAGGCATTTAAATGGCTATTGTATTAATTAGAAATATATCAATCTTGACACAGCAAAAATGCTAAGTCAAGAAACTCACAGTAAAACATTGATGTTTTCTCTGCAAGAGACACCATCAACTCAGAGTGTACTGGGGCTCCCTGTCTCCTTCCCCTCCTGAGACTTTAAGGACACAAGTCTGTATCAGCAAATCTACTGGAAAAATGTTTAAACAGCTTGCATCTCAGAAAACATGAACTTTTTGGCTCACACAGGGGTCAGCCAGTTGTCTTCCACCTGCATAGGAGGGAGACAAAAGGGGCAAAGTTGTCTATGAAAAGCAGTCCTCTCCCACAGATTTCTGGAAAGAGACCCTTTGCAGAATAGACATCTGTCAGATACACTGCAGTCCTCAAAACCAAAGTTTCTGTTTTGTCTTAGAACCCAGACGGGACACACAAGGAAAACTTTTTATGACACTAGGGAACATTGGTCCACTAGTGTTGGCCGGCCACAGTGCACTTTTGTTTTAAGCAGTAAAGCATGAGCCGTCAGCCTGATTTAACCCACCGTATGTCCTGGAGGTATGGAAAAGATCCGCTCAAATAATTCAGTTAATTCATCTGTGAGAATGTGTAAGAGAACATTTAAACACCGCACACATTTTTCTTCAAAGGGTTTGATTTCTGGTCATGGCTGTCCTCCCCAACCTCTGAGCCAGCACCGTGGAAGTGTACCCAACCCATCCCGCGTCCCTCTCCCCATTCCACACCTGCCCTCCAAACACACCATTCCCACTCGCTATTCTCAGCTCTGAGGTGCACGGACACCGGCAGACACAGCCGTCGTTCAGGGTACAGACGCCACAAGTTTTCAATAAAAGTACGGAGAGTGGTAGTTGCCAATGGTGTTTATTAAGCACCTACATGACCGGTGCTACTTCGTTCGCTTAAGTTTACTTTGGAATCCATCAGTTTGAAGGGCATGTCCAAATAAATTTAAGTTTTTCACTAGCAACAAGTAGCATTATCCCTTCTGACCACCGAAATTTAGGGGCAATGGAAAGCAAAAACACTGGAGTCTCACTATGATCTTTCTTAACAGTGAGACTGAAGATTGGGTAAAAGACTGAGTAGAAAGATAAGAGCTGTAAAAGAGAAAGAGGCTGGGGTTAATGATAAAAACATTCGTCTGTCCTCACATGAACACTTACTTGCCAATATTTTCAGGCAGGGACTGCAGGGAGATGTCATTTACAGAAAGACATGTCAAATTCTGTAATTCAGGAAAGCTTTCTGGCAATCTGAAATAGCAACAACAAAATGTTAATTGAAAAAGAAAAGTGCATATACAGTGTATACCAGACATAAATATAAGGATTACTCCCATATGCTCATTGAAAGAACCTAAAAATTACATTGTAAGTCGCATATTTGCCTGGTCTTCCTATATAGAAGATATTGATAAGGAGAAAAGCCAAGACTCAGTTTACCTAGAAGTACAAAAGCAAGAAAAATAAATAATTAACACAGGAAAGATATGCAAGCTCTAAGAATAATTTAGCCCAGAAAATTATAATAAAACACACAACAGCAGCTTAATAATGTTTTTTTTCTTCTGTAGATTATAAAAGCCAGAGCAAAGCCATGGATTACTTTCTTCTATAGATTATAAAAGCCATAGCAAAGAATTGATCAATTGACAGCAATTGCTACTTTCTTAATATTTTTCTTTTAACTTGATCTAAGATGCCAATCACTTGAGATAATTACTATGTTTCACTATGTTCTACACAAAAGAGATTTTTTTATACTTCTCTTAAATGCTACTGAAGAGATTTTTCAAAATAAAACTATTTAAAAACTTACAAAGAAAGTTTACTTTCAATATTTCTATGGTTACCTCCAGTTAGGGAGGAAAAAAAAAATAGAGTTAAAAAGATCTCATTGCTTCTAAAATGCCAAAGGTCCTTATACAGAAATCTGCTAATAGAGACAACAGAACATAGAATTCATTGTTTCGGGTAGGAGTGGGGAGGGGCCCTTCTTGCTTTAGTGATAGCCTCTATATTAGAATCTTTCATTTCTTTCCTCTTTCTAGGTTTCTTTTTTAAAAAGCAAATTCTAGGGGTACCTGGGTGGCTCAGTCGGTTGAGTGTCAGACTCTTGATTTTGGCTCAGGTCATGATTCAAGCAAGGGTGGTAGGACTGAGCCCACACTGGGCATGGAGCCTGCTTAAGATTCTCTCACTCTCTTGCTCTCTCTCCCCCCACTCTCGACTGGCCTCTCCCCCACTCATGCTCTCTCTCTTTCTCTCTATAAATAGAATAAATACATAAATAAATAATAGATAAATCAATAAAAATTAATAAAATAAAAATAATAAGCAAATTATATGGTACTATTTCACATATAATATAGGTAATTCCAAACTTCAAAACAAATTTCAGGGGCTCCTGGGTGGCTCAGTAGGTTGAGCATCCAACTTTCACTTAGGTCATGATCTCGTGGTTCGTGGGTTCGAGCCCCGCGTCGGGCTCTGTGCTGACTGCTGGCTCAGAGCCTGGAGCCTGTTTCAGTCTGTGACTCCCTCTCTCTCTGACCCTCCCCTGCTCACGCTGTCTCTCTCTCTCCTAGAAATAAAAAAAATATTTAAAAAAAACAAAAGCAAAAACAAAAACAAATTCCAGGCCCTGCAAGATGAGTTCTAGGATGTTCATTGTCACTGAAATACCTTCTTAGGAATGTTTTCTACAAAGTTGAAACCTCTTCCCCAGAGCAAGAGAGGTAAGATTGTTTTTATTCATATTTAAAAAGATGCAACGTACTTGCTGCCTGAGTTTGTACCATAAAGTATGTAGCATTTTACACTTTTAGAACTGTCTAAAATGTTCTCAAATATAAGAAGGTATTCGGAAAGAGCTGATTTCCTTTTTTATTGGCTGTTCACATAAGAGCCAAGCCAGCGTGTGTGAGGAGGAAGTGCGGAAGGCAGGCTAGGAGAAAGGAAGTCTAGCCGGAGCTGCCACTCAGGGACTGCGTCATCTCAGAAAGGTCATTCAGTCTCTCTCCACCTCAGTTTCTTCAGCCATAAAATAAGTAGGTCAAACTAAATTGTTTTTAAGGTCCTTTCAACTCACAGATAGGTCTTCTTAATTCTTAAAGGAGTGCACCTGCCAAATCAAAAAGGCTTTACTTGAAGAAACCTCCCAAATGTGAGGCCAGGGGAAAAAAACGAAGGAAAGCCTCCTACAGGGTGGGTGTGTTCTGGTCAGAGAATTTTGAGAGAATAGTAAAGTCATGTGTCAGCAGACATTAGAAAAGGAAACTAAAGAGGTAGAAAAGGGGATTAAGCAATTGAATAGCCAAAAAAAAAAAAAAATCTCCAAGGCAGCATAATGAGTGTTTCCCAGCTGCCCACCCTTACAGCTGCCTTACGGATAAACAGCTTAGTTCAGTTCAACAGCCATTTAGAGAGTACTTACTCCATTCCATAAATTAAGATAGGGCTGGAGATAAAACAGTAAGTAATAGAAGAGTACAAATATACTTTCTCAGTCTAACTGGGGAGTCTTGGTCAAAGTGATAACTCAAATGTAAATTTCAAAGGGTTCCTGGGTGGCTCAGTCAGTTAAGGGACCTACTCTTAGTTTCAGCTCAGGTCATAATCTCATGGTTCATGCATTAGAGGCCTGCATGGGGCTCTGTGCTAACAGCTCAGAGTTGTGCAGAGCTAAAAGCTAGAGTACACTTCAAATTCTGTGTCGCCCTCTCTCTCTGCCCCTCCCCTGCTTGTGCTCTGTCTCCCTCTGGCTCTCAAAAATAAATAAATGTTAATTTTTTTTAAATAAAATTAAAATATAAAGTGTTAGGAAAAGGGTATGCTCAGAGCATAATGAAAGCCTGGAGGAGGGGACTGTGCAGAGCAAGGAAAGACTTCCCAAAGAAATGTAATGCCCATGTACACCTTACAGGAGTGCAAGAAGAGAAGGAGCAAGTGAAATAAATAACCTATGACCACTCTGCAACACCAGAGCAAGACGTCTGTCATGGGCAACTGAGGGCAATGAACACGGAAAGATAGGCCAAAGTCAAATACAGTGCAGGGAAGGTTGCATAGCACCTGGAAGAGACAGGACTTTATCTTAGAGAAACAAGGGGCTCCAGAAAGGTTTGAAGAAGAGGGACAATTGTGGGGGTTGTGGTTAAAAAAGAAGAGGTGAGGACAGAGATGAGTTAGAACTTACTAGATTTACTATTTTTCATAAAAATAGATGTTAGTAAAATACTCACTGAAAGGACAAAAATCAAAAATATTTTTCAAAAAAATATGGACTTCGGGGTGGCCAAGTTCAGCTCAGGTCAAGATCTCACAGTTCGTGAATTCGAGCCCTGTGTCCGGCTCTGTGCTGACCACTCAGAGCCTGGAGCCTACTTCATATTCTATGTCTCCCTCTCTCTCTGTCCCTCCTCTGCTCATACTCTGTCTCTCTCTCTCTCAAAAATAAATAAAAATTAAAAATAATTTAAAAAACAAAACATTTGCTTCTTAAAAACAGCAGAAATGGGGAAAGCAATGCTAAATCAGCATTCAGCAGCACTCCATACTCAAGTAGACCCAAGTAATTTTCATACGGGCAATGTGCATCCCAAATTTTAATCTCATCTCCATTTTTCTATATGCTTAAAAACAAAACAGAAGGGAAGAGGGAAAAGTGCCTTTCTTCTGAAGTTGCTAACAGAGTCTAGAAATCTTAGATATGAACCTACCTGGCCTAGAGATACATCTGGAACTTTTCCTGAGAACCACCTCTGCATTGCCAGGTGGGCAACAATTTGGCTAACCTGGCAACAAGGTACCTGGAAGCCAGTGATCAGTGGCCTCGTGACTGAGCCAGGATCCACGAGGAGGGTGGCTCAGCTGTGCCCAGGCAACATGCTGTGTCATATCATAAGGGGAGAGGCTGGAATCCATAGTAAAATGGTGATATGGTGGTTTTATTTGGAGGAATAAACCCAAAGAAATCCTCACAGCTATTGTTAAAGTAAGGAAATAATGGTGTTGGCAGAGTTTTTGTTTCTTTGTTTTAAAGGGAGAATTAGAGGAAAGCTGACATAGTAAATATGTTTCATTACTGGGGTGAAAAAATATCCCCTATTAGGACTTCTCCTTGGATTACTATAGGGAAAGGTCTCTGGGAGTTTAGAACTCAGTCTTATCCCACAAGACAAGGTAAGTGGTAGGGGATTCATGAACTACTCCAATGCTTCACACTGCTTGAGACATGAATTCTGCACTCCTGTTTTGTACACTCCACTGTGCCTCCCTTCAGCCCCTACCAATATCCTATCAATATTTCAATCAATATCCTTTCATATCAGTAGCACATAGTGCCCTTCATTGCACAGTGCTATTTATAAATAAACCTCTGTGAGGCTCAATCATCCTTGATAAAGATGGCCATCCATCTAGGTACCTGCACAATGGATGACCAGACTGTATTCCTGGCTTGGTTCCCAAAAAGGATATCCTTAGTACTACAGACAGAAAAGCAAGCAGAAAGGTTACCTCGTCAGTGGATTTCCGCTGAAGTCAGCTATCTGTAGTGCTTTACAGAATGAGATGCTTTCTGGAATTTCAGGAATATCTGTAGGAGCAAAGAAAACATCTATTGTTTACCACCACTGTTAACAGCTTTCACTATCCTCAAGATGGACCACAGTGACAAGAAACTATCTAGTAAGTATTACCTCTATTCAAATGTGGCATGGATTTCTAAAGTATTTTTCTATGATTATTTAAACTTGCTTTCCCAAAAGAAGATATATTCTGAGTAGAAGCACATTAAAGAAAAATAATATTAAAAACAACTAACACACACGGATGGGCCTTGAAGGCATTATGCTAAGTTAAATAAATTAAAAAAAAAGTATGAACTTACTTATATGTGGAATCTTAAAAACAAAACCAAAAACAACACATTAAAAAAAGAGATCAGACTTGTGATTACAAGAGGCAATTGGAGAGGGAAGTGGAAAAACTAGTCAAAGGTATAAACTTCTAATTATAAGAGAGATAAGTAGTAGGAATGTTAAGTACAACATGATGACTATAGCCAACATTGTTCTATAATATATTTTAACATTGGTAAAGGAGTAAATTCTATGAGTTTTCATCACAAGGAGAACATTTTTTCCCTTTATTTTCTTTTTATTGTATCTTTATGAGATGATGAATGCTGGCTAAATCTATTGTGGTAATCATTTCATGATGTGTATAAATCAAATCATACTGCACACCTTCAATGTATACAGTGATGACTGTCAATTATTTCTCAATGAAACTGGAAAAAAAAAAAAACCACCACCACCACCAAGTCCCATCACCCTATCAAAAGTCATTGATAGCATTCTGTCGTAATTCCCATTAAGCTTTTTTCCCTTACATGTTCACACAGTTGTATCAGTACATTGTATTCTAGAGTATACATTTTTAAATTATGGACTTTCTTCTGAGAAGATTATAAATGTAATCATCTGGAAAATTCAGCAAAGTCCAAAGAAAACAAAAAAACCATCAGCATTTCCATCACCCAGAGATAATGTTTTACCCTGACGTCTTTTTTCGTTGTCATCATACACATGCACACACACAGTGTGTATAAATAGGTACATTTCAAAATACTAGGTTCATGCTGATTTGTTTTTCTCAACTGCACATTATTTTACAAAATCTTCCCTATCTTTATTTGTGCAAACAGGTTGCCATTTTAAATGGCAGAAGACCCACTGCATACATTCTCGTACTTCATTGAATCAATCTCTTATTGTTGGACATTTAGGTTGTTTCCAAGTTCCTGATGTTATATTTATATTTATATTCATATTTATATTTATATCCATTTCTGATTATTTCCTTAGGCTAAGCTTCCAGAATTGTAATTGCTGTGTCAAAGGCATTAACAACCCTACAGTCCTTGATAAATACTATTCAACTGCCTCAGAGGAGGGCAAGTTACATCTATTTATACATCTATTTATACTTCCATCAGCTTGTATAACGTGTCCAACCCAACATCTCTCCTCCTCCTTTATTTCTCTTACATTTTCAAAACTGCTAATATTATTGGTAAAAATAGTCTGGCAACATTTTGTTTTATATTCCTTTTATTACTAATGAGGTGGAATATTTCCCCTATGTTTACTGGCTACTAAATACTGTGATTTTAGAATGACCAAAAATTGTTAAAATTCCTCTTTCTTTTGGCACAAAATCTGGGGTTTTAGCTTTTGGGGCTTTAAAGGTTTATTTCATAGCATTTGATTTCAAGAATACATTTACTTTGGACATACTAATGTTAGGAAGGGCTAAAACAGAAAAGGTTCTCCTGGTCCCATTCAGTTTCTTCTACTAGTTCTACAAATGCAAGCAGAGCCAAAACATACCTATTTCTAAGCTGGGGGTGGCAGAGGGAAGGGAGAAATAAGGGGAAAAAAGGATGCCCTGGTCCAGCAACCACAAATAACCAGAAGCTATATAAAAGCTTTTTGTTCAAACTTAAAAGCCAAAATCATTTAAATTTGTGGTAACATTCTTTTTACACTTTCTCTACCTTGCATGGTCATATTAGGTAGTAAAGATCAAATGCTATGATCTTAGTTTCATAACTATAAGAGCTACACATACACACACACACACACACACACACACACACACACAGTTGAGTCTGGAATGGACTTCTAGAATTTTTTTTTAAAGTAGTCTTCACACCCTGCATGGAATCCAATGTAAGGCTCAGACTCATGACCCAGAGATCAAGGCCTGAGCTGAGATCAAGAGTCTGATGCTAACTGACTGAGCCACTCAGGTGTCCCTGGAATGAATTTTTAAAACACACAAATATTTGTGGGCCCTTAGGTACAAATACACTGGAAGGTCCTTCTACATACATTACCTTATTTCATCTCAAAATAAATTAGTTTAACTTTCACTGTACAAAATGGACACTAAGGCTCAGAGAGATGAACAACTTCCTCATCGTACAGGACTATCTCATTGAGCGTTTGACCCCCCCATGCCGGGACCACAGCACTGTTGTGCTTAGTAAGAATGAATGAACATACATAAATCCATTACAGAATAAGCACTGCTTTCCAGGCAAGTGAGGCAATGATACACCATGACTTTCCTTGGTCTGAAAGATGCCGGTTGTCCCGTGCAGTCCATGACAGCCTTTCCTGTGCCACTATGTCAAGTCTTGGTGGGCAGTTTTTGTAAGACTGAGGACAGAGGTGCATGTGCCATACTAGTTACCTCACAAGTGCCAAAAGAGATCAAGCCAGATGCATAAATACAAATTTCACAGCAGCTTACTGCTCTATCCAAGACAAAAAAGCATGGAAACAGAGCAGGAGAAAACATATGTCCATTAGGCGCAAGTCTTTAATACTCTTCAGACCTGAAGCTTGGGAAGCTGGCCTATCAAGGAAACACATGAAAAGCGGCTGTGAGAAACTCTGATCAGGACTGCGCTGGAATCTGGAGACCTGAGAGTAACAAAAACAACTGCCAGAGAATACAGCTGGCCTCAGTCCACACAGAGCTGACAGAGAGGTCTGGCATTCTCTCCTTAGGACAACCTGCTTGGATACACAGGAGAAGTAGCAGATCAGCAAACAGAACACAGGTCTCCTGACTCCCAAGACCATTTCTTTCCACCATGTGAATGTTCTGAACTTGAAAGAAAAAGAAATGTCTTTGCTTGAAAAAGAAAGAAAGAAAGAAAAAAGCTATAGGCAAGGAAGGCAATGGTGTGGTATGAAGAGTCTTGAGTACCGGTTTGCTTCAGGTTACTAAAAATATAAGATAAAATACTAAAGAAGGAAAACATCTACTTATCCTTACATCCCCAGCTAAAATGTCATATCTACAGGCACGTCTTTCATGAGTCCCAAGATGAGGCTGGATTCCCCCACTCTCAGCTTCTTCAGGCTTCACCTTTGTGAGATCTGTTACAGTTTTAACTAAATAATTGACGACAATCTCCTTTATTAAGAGCCACCTGGAAAGAAAGACTTTGTTGGTCTCATCTGTCGCTGTTCCCTAAAGCTGACACAAAAGTGAGCTCAAGCTTTGACACAGGTGACAAATGAATGAATGAGAAGCTAATGAATAAGCCTCTGGGAGAACAGTTGCTCTCTCACTTAAGTCATGAAACATCCCCATAAGGTCAAGACTATCTCCATTTTACAGTAAGAAAACTGCTTAGTCCCAGATCTCTGACAAGAGGGAGGATAAAGCTTGCAGGTTATTCCCAGCTAAAATCCCCTTTGAGTGATTCTTAAATGTTTTGCTCAGGACAAATGTGAAGTTTGAGAATAAACACAGGAAAAATGTATATAAATAGCACCTTGTCAATGAAACCTAGGCTGACCACCAACCTCATTGAAAAACTAATTTGAATCCTTTACCCCATACCAATTCCTACATTCAATTTCCAAATCCTTCTCATATTCTCTATTTTTCTTAGTCATCTTTTTCTTCTCATTCCTATAATTATCAACTTAGATCAGGCCACAATCATCTAGATCACTATAATATCCTCTTATATGGTCTCTCCCTGTATCCAATTTGTTCTCCATCAAATCCAAAGAGCCATTAAGAGCAATCTGCACCAGTTTTCCACATTTGCTAGATATGTGCCATCAGACAAACTACTTAACCTAGCTGTGCCTTAATTTCCTTATCTGTAAAATGGGTCACCAACAGATTTTTTTTTTTTTTTTAAAGTAATGCCAGCACAACTTACCTTCAAGGCCTCATTAAGTTTAAAGAAAAGAGAGGGGTGCCTGGGTAGCTCAGTCAGTTAAGCATCCGACTTCGGCTCAGGTTATGATCTCACGGTTCGTGGGTTTGAGCCCTGCATCAGGCTCTGTGCTGACAGCTAGCTCAGAGCCTGGAGACTGTTTCTGATTCTGTGTCTCCCTCTCTCTCTGACCCTCCCCTGCACGCACTTGCTCGCTCGTTTGCTTGCTCTCTCTCTCTCTCAGAAATAAAACATTAAAAAAATAAAAAATAAAATAAAACATTAAAAAAATTTTTAAAGAAAAGAGAAAATTAGACAAAGGACACTCATGTTTTGAACAAAATAAATAAGAGCAGAGGAGAAACCCAAGTACAAATGGGACACGGAATGCATTGAGGAAAGGGTAAGCCCAGGGAAAGAGTACAATATGCCTGAATGTCAGGATATCTCTCTGGAGAGAAGGCTGACGGGATCTCTTAATAGCAGGTTACCAAATGCCAAGTTGAGCTATTGACAATTACTTTGGTAGACAAGGGGTTCCCTCTTCTATAAAAAGGAGATAATCATCTCCGGCTTACGGCTATCCTAAGGATAAAGCAGAGTAGCATGAATAAAAGCACATGGCACTCTGTCTGACCTCTTTCATTAATATTCGGGGGAGATCAGGAGAGGGGACCAGTGGTTTCCATTCAAGGCCAAATAATCTGAAGAGTAGCATTATTAGTAGAGATGAGAGGATTCAGAGGGCTTTTGCTGTTGTTTTAACTATCAGGGAAGCAGTAACAATTATCCCCTGACAAAACACCTATTTACATAAGAATATTAGAAACAATTAATGAGAT